CGAAATTTAGTATGTAAATCAACAAAGTTCCCTTCGTAATTATTCGGGTTAATTTTTATCAACTTGTAATAGGTTACTATTGAAATATTCACATGTTTTAGAAGATGGCAACGTTATCAAGTCATATATCACTACTGGTTCATAGAAATACGATAAACTTTATAATATTATAAACTGATAGCACTTATCAATTTACGACATAATAAAGATGCTGTCTTTTAAAAATAAGTATGATTTTTTCTGATCGCCCCTAAACTTTAATCACCTATAAGTCGTTTAAAATCGAATAATATAAAAAAAAAACGTTTTTTTCAACTTAATAAATTTAATGATATCAAAAAAAAAAATCGGGTTGCCATTTGAAAATCGAAAATTGATATGAGTTTAGGGTATAACAGAAAATTAATTTTTCCTATAAATCAGCTCAACAAAGATCCATTATTTAAAATAATAATGATAAGCTCTAATACATTCGAAGATATTTTGCGAAGCATAATTAGGAAATTACCGTGTAGATTTCTTTTTACAAAAATTGGTATAGTGTTTTATATTTTCAAAAAGATATTTTAATCTTGACCTATTTACAAGCTGTTGAAAAATTAACCCGAATAATTACGATGGGGCTTTGTTGATTTACATACTGAATTATATGTTATATTTATTATAGGTAATGAAATTTATTCAAGGCACGCTATTGTCAGTTGATGGTGATTTATTGCTAGTAATTGGATTACAGTGTTGTTGTTTTGATTAAAATGACATTCAAACATTTTTGAGAAATATGTCAGCAAAACGTTATGGATATTATATACTCTTATTTAGGTAGCACTATCCATTGTCAATTGTATAACTCTACTTTATATTTACAATAAATTTCAACAGTAGTTGAAGTCCATGAATTTCTCTTGAATAATATTTCTCCAGAAATACAATTTGATTCATTGCTTTAGCACGACACAAATGTAACAATATTGCCTAACCAAAACACCGCGTAATAAAACATTATATAAACATTTATAAGATTTAACACAAATAAATTAAATGAAACATTAATGTTAATAAAATAAACAAGATTTTATAAAGATCAACAAAATATTTTTTAACTGAATGTACCAACTTAATTAACGTTAAAGTTTATAAAAGTTCATGATTAATACATTTCATTTATAAATCATAATAATGTTTTAAAGTAATTTCTCTAAAAATATTGACTAAAAATATTTGTTTTTCATAACGAAAGATTTTGTTAGTATTATATAGTGTTATTTTTAAGTACATATAATACCTAACACTGACTATCAGCTTAGTAAAATGTATAAAAATTACTTTTTAAGTGTAACTTATTTTAAGATATTACTATATCCTAATTAGTAACATCGAAAAAGTAGGGCGGAGATGACAAAAGAAAAAAATATTCGAAGCTTATATATTATTTTATATATAATTAAAACCAAATAATAATGCGCATAAAATAATTTATATTTTTTAATTTAATTAAAAATATTGATTTTTTTCTAGTTTTATCTCTAAAAAGATAGAAATACTTATAATAATAGGTATTGTTCGTGTATTTATTTGAATTAATACCAGTCATTGGATTGCTACTAATTTTCATAGAAAAATCAATATTCATATCATATTTAGTGTGAAAATATTGTGTTTACTTTTGTCCTTTTTTATTAATCACATCATTGGTTACCGTAGAATAAATACAGAAAAATTAACTACCAAACATTAATGAGAATTTATTTCACCAAATAATTTTTTTAAATCTATACTAAATTATGGCTATTTTTAAATTTTTTAAAGCATTTCTGGTAAATTTTTAAAATAAAATTTTTTTTTTATTTAATTATAAAAATGATATTAATTACATTATTATTATAGCTCTCTAATATAGTAACTAGAAAAAAAAATTAACTGAATAAAAAGTTATATAAGTTGTTAGTGAATACTGGGCCATCCTGTATATATATATTTATATGTACAAATACATTAATTGTATGCAAAATCTTAGTGAAATCATGTTTACCAATAGAAATCAAGATTTTTGTATGATTACATATGGTATATACAAAATAAAAAATATTTAGATCTACAAATGTAAAATAATTATTTGGTATTTGTTTATTAAACCATCATATATAATCATTATTAAAAGACATTTAATAAAAGATGAATAAAAAATTGTATGCAAGTAAAGAATGCTAAAAACAAATAAATAAATTATTTAGTATTTATAATAGGCTAATTTGTTTTTGTATGTTCATTTTTTTTAAGGTGGTTGAGTAAGTTTACTTTAGGTTTTGTGATCAAAACTATAGTTGTAATGTAGAATTGCAAGTAAGTATGTGTAAACCCNAGGTTTTGTGATCAAAACTATAGTTGTAATGTAGAATTGCAAGTAAGTATGTGTAAACCCAGCACTCACATACTACATATTAAAATTCAGGTTATTGGTAAATTTAATACAAAAAGTTGATATTGTTGTAATATTTTTAATTGCTATCACGTCCGTCGTGAACAATTCATTACATAAATATATTAAAATACGTAAACAATTCTCTATACCGACTTGTATAAATATAATTGGTGTGTTTTTTTATGATCGAAATAACATTTTAATTTAATATGATTCAGTATAATATAAGTATTTTTTGAAATCAGTAATATCTTACTGATATAATTGATTTATAAAGGCATACTTAAGTTACTTATAATAAAAAAACTGTATTTATGCATACGTTTTTCAAAAAGTTTAAGTGATATAAAGTTGAAAAAATAAAATTTTAAATTGGAAATTTAACTGTAAAATACTATATTTTTAAACTACAGCAACATATTGCATATAGAAGATAAATTATTGCAACAATTTTTTTTTAAATTTATAATGATGTATTAAACAAGCTTTTATTTAATGTGTGTTTAAAATATGCAGATTTTCTTTAACATTTTTAATAGTAAGTTAAAAACGTTTACTGCAAAAATTATTATTTTTAACCCCTTCTTGTAGATATGTCAAAGATAGAATTTCAACAAAATTATCGTCATTTTAAGACAAAATACTAAAAAATTACTAATTTACGAAAATTTCTCATTTAAAGAAACGTTATTTTAGGAGGAAATTTCCTCCATTAACTCTCTGTTATGAAGAAAATTGTTTCAATATTCAACAAAAAAAAGTGAATAAATATCGAAAATTACTGATTTTTAATATTATATTTTTTTTTTTGAGATTTCTCCCATTTACGGGGTACGAGGAAAATTTTTTCAATTTTTGAGGATAATGTGTTCAACTAGTAGGATTTGTGATCTTATAATCATATCGTAAAGTCGGTCAAATAGGAACTGAGAATTTATGGTAATAGTCACAAAAAATAAATAAATAAACATAGTAAAATAAATAATCGTAGTATAACCTTCTCAGTTTTGCATCGAGCTATAATAAAGTAAGAAAAATAATAATTATTTATGAAATTAAAAAATGTCAATAGTTTTTAGATCGAATAACTCCAAATGACATGCATAAACCTCGTTATCTAAACATATGAGTTTATATTTTTAAAATATTAAATGTGAAAAGCTTGTAAAAGTAATAACTATTGAGCATCAAAGAGTAGAATTTAAACCTCGTATTGAAGTACGACCTACTAAATAAATATTAATTTATTTTATTTAACTAATATTAGTTTTCTGTTGAAACTACTGGTAAATTTTTTTAACAGTAGAATATTTTTGTTGTGCAAGTAATTTTTTTGCCACAAAAAAACTATTATTAATAATTATACTATTAATTTAGAGACTAGTTTATGGATTGAATCTATACAATTTAAAATGTTAAATATAAACATCATTGCACAATTTCGTTCATAGATAAAAATTAACTTTTGATCTTTAACACGTTTTTATTTTTTGTTTATCTAAAACTTCGTCTGCTGTGGCCATTAGTTACAATTTACTAAAATTCGTATTACAAATTAAAGGAATAGGTACATTATTTTAAATTAGGTTATTTTAACAATTTTTTATATTATTATTATATAAATTACAATTTTTTATGTATTATTTAAAATATTTATTTTTATAAGGAATTTTTCATATTTTTTTTTTTTTTGGTGAAGTCCTGGCGAGGATTACGTTTAACATGTTTTATTCAGATTTGTTTGATAAATATGTATAAATTATTATTTTTTAATACGTAATTATTTAAAACAATTTTAAATAATTTTTAAAAAGAATAAAATTATTAAGAGGAATTTATATTAGGATTTAAAACCAACTACATATAATATAATTATATATATATATACATACATTATTTTCTTAGTTAAACTTATGTATATTTAGTGGCGTAAAGCTACAAATTTGACCTCAATGCAAAAAACATAAAAGGCATCTTCTTAAAAACTTTCCAAGATACCGATTTTCTTTTTTGATTTAACAGTGGAATGTCAATAAGACTCCTGATGATGCAACAGCAATTCCTCGCATTCTTCTTTTTACACCACTATTAGTATATTATACAAGACTAACATTAGTCACACATATTGTTTAAGAAAAATATACGAGTATTTTTTAGGTAAGTAATAATTACTGAAATAATTCTATTTAATGACTAGGTAACTATAATTTTATTACTATAAACAATTAATAATGATATAAAGCTTACATTTATTATAGAACCCTTTAAAGCATAAATTTTATGTGTTAGTCACAAGCGCAGTTTAAGAGAAACAGGGTTAAGTTCCCGGGGACTATTTTAAAAATAGTAATGGCCTTTTTTTTATCATGTTATACTTTGCAATGAAATACTAAAAAAAGTCTTTAGGATTACTGCGGGTGGCTTATTGCAAATTTCCGCACATTGATCTCAAAAACCTCAAAAATTCCATCTTGATTATTCAATAACTTGAAGTCTTTAAAGTGGATTTGTTGATTTAAAAATATCATACCGACAAATCAGCAAATAAAATTAAATCAATGTGTTACTTAATACTTACCAATTAAATAAATTCCAAAAATTACGTTCCACCACATATTAGAGACCATAATCATTTTTTTTTTTTTATCTAACCGATCTAAAACAAATTCAATGAAAGCGTTTAATTTAATGCATATAACAAGATAAAAATTAACGAAATTTTATTTCCAAAGTGCGTTTAATTTTTAACGTGTTTTATCCTTTCGTAAGCTATACCGCTGTCGACGATACACGTGCGAGGTAAGTATTACCGGCGTTGTGTTTGCCGCGGTACTGAATATCTGAACAGATTACCGCGCGGTGTCCGGTTGACGAAGAAGATCATTGCGCACTATCCAACGGCATCTAAAAACTACCTCTCATCTTCTTGTAACAATGCCACTACATAGGCACAATCCTTCCATCAGGGATTAATGGCAGATACTCGGTTTCATCCGTCCAGTTTATATTATACATGAACTGTATACTATGTTGTGACTATATTCGGTAACTTAATTTTATTACTACAAATAATTTAATGATTTATAAATCTCTGATCTCTGAAAACTTTCATTTATATTCCTAAAATATATTTCAGTTTTGTCCTATAGTGGTTTTGCATATTATTTTAGAAAAATATGCTCTAAACGTACAATGGTAAAAATGACCTGGCGTAAGTGTACACAAATCATTGGGGTCGGATTACATAGGTGTGAGCGGTCATGAAATGAGGATTCCTTCAATACGTACAACTAATGTAGTTAATTCTTTGACAGTAGATATTTGGTTACCAATTATACACAGCTGGTGATACTTAGAGATCTTGATTGTTGCCTCCCATAGTCCACTGAAGTGACGTGCTGCTGGCTGGTTAAAATGTCAAGTAGAAGTCACACGATTTGATACTTGAATTTGTGTCTACGGATTGTTAAAAAATAAGTTATATTTTTGTGAAAAAGTTGTTATTTTGAATCTTTACCCGTGGGCAGGTAAAGGGTCAGTTTTATAAAAAAAAAAATATAAAATCATAAGTAAAGACATTATGCATCTATAAAAAAAAAAATTATATTGATTTGTTCATTTTTAAAAAAATTATGTCAGTTTTAAGAAAAAAAAATTGAAAAAATGTCAAGAATTACCGATCTTTAAATTTGTAATTTTTTTGGCGATTTCCTCCATTTACAGAGAACAAGGGAAATTTTTTCAATTTTGAGGGTTATGTTTTCGACTAGATACGATTTGTGATCTTTTGACGTATTGTTCATCAAAATGGTTTCAGTGAGAGCTGAGATTGAGTGGTAACAGTCACAAAAAAAAACACATCATAATAAAATAAAACCTTTTCAGCTACACATCGAAGCTAATAGAAAGAAAATCACTATAATTCACTTAATTTTTAATATATATATATATATATGTATATAGTGGAGTAAGAAGATGGCGAGCTTAAGCTTCTACGATTTTTCCTGACTTCTTAGAATACATAGCCTATCACTACAATTTTTTTCAAACGCCCCTCTCAACTTCTTAAGAGTGAAATATGAGTTTTCCTGAAAATTGTCATTTTCGTCATCTTTCTCCACCTATGGGGTAAGATGACGAATGGATTGGGGTAAGACGACGAACAATACTTGAGATTAAATAAAATTATAAATATAATATAAAAATTAAGTATTAATCATAAAAATAACTTTAACAACTTTTTATCAACATAAAACATATTATGTTAAAACATTAAGTCATAAAAACCCACATCTATGGGGTTATAATCAGTGGCTAGTATGAGGTGGGAATCCGAGCATAATAATTCCATTTTCCCTGCAAAAATGAATAGCCTCGATGGTTATAAGAGAGGCATGGTTGTCCATGAGAAGAAGAAGTGGATGTGTAATACTTGGGCGACACATACGGTGCAAAATGTTTTAACGAAATTGGTAGCTGTCATCCATCCTGAAATATGTGGTACTACTGCTGAGCTCGAAAGGACACCTTCTAAAAATCTTGGATTTATTCTCTCCCTAGGATTGATAAAAAATGGAGGTAATTAATTTCCAGTAGAGCTCATGGCGCGCACACGTGTCACTGTGAACCCACGTTCGGCTGACGAAATTTTTATCACTCGGCGAGTACCAATGGGACTGATGACTTTTGGTGTTTTTGTTGCCACTGTGGAAAATCCTGACTCGTCAACGTTGTAGATTTTTTTAACTGTGAATGAGTATTTTAATCTGATTTCTTTAAGTAACTCAAAAAAATTACTAACGTTGACTCGATTAATTGCCATGAGTCTAGCAACTGATGTAGACTCAGGTTTTCTTAATGTTAGCTCACATTCTTTCATAAACTATTTAACAAAACCTTCACCAGCAGTTTTTTTTCTGCATTAAATCTATGGGCCACTCCATTTTTTTCAGCTTAGTCATAGCATAAATGAGAAAACTGTTTTCGTGTTAAACCATAAGCTCTTTTATCAATATCAAACACGTATTGTTTCAATTCCTTCATTTGTGATTCAAAAAAAGTTTTTTTATACCTCCCTAAATTTCGAGGAAAATCCACATCAATTTCTTTTGCTTCTGAAATATAAACGATAAAAAACGATAAAATATCGTTTTTTTAATTATCTTCTTAAAGTAGACTCGGGTACATTATATTTTATTGCAGCAGCGTTCAGACTCAAACATTTCTGTGACATCTGATATAACAAACATCATGTCTTTATCTTCCCAACTTTTTCTTTCACTTATTTTTACATATTGCCGTGGTATGTTAATATTTAATTGACGTTACTATCGAAAGCAACTGTGAATTTATGACCAATTTTAAATTATAAATTTATTTGATAAATTTTATTAGTTGTTATTTATTACACTNACTTTAACAACTTTTTATCAACATAAAACATATTATGTTAAAACATTAAGTATCAAAAACAAAACTTAAATAAAAACTTCATAAAATATTTCGACTTTCTTAACATCAAAAATAATATTAATAGAAATTTTAAATTCTGTAATCACATTGTTAATTGGTTAATGTGATTACTGATTGTGAAAAACCAATTTATGCTTCAACTTTTTTTCTGTTGCCCATTGTTTTTTGTTTGCTTTTTCAATTAATCTTTCTTTCTCACTTCATCTCTTTTTCTTCTTACTCCTTTACTTCATTTCAAGCACTTCTTTTACAGGAGTTCTCGATAAGTTCAATTATGGTAATTTCTTCCTTGGCTTTCTGACAATTTTTTTAATTGCCACTGGAAATGGAAGAAGGGTTGAAGAAGAAGACGGTGACGGATCCATAGATTGAGAGCATATAGGCTGACGCTGAAGGTTGGAATCATTTATAGAAGTTGGGGTTGTAGTTAGTATGTCAGTGGCTAATAATGATTAAAAGTCTTCATTTGTAAAAATATTATTATCAAAAGGCTCAATACCCGTTGCATTGAAAGCATTAACAGCAGTGCGGAGACTAGCAACTTTGTGATAAGCGTTACAAAATATCTCAGGCATATGTGTCATGCTAATGCAAACAGCTGGATTGAATACCAAAAAATCATCAACTGCCTAACTGTAGGCCGTCATAAAAACCCACATTTAGGGTTTATAATCAGTGGCTAGTATGAGGTGGGAATCCGAGCATAATAATTCCATTTTCCCTGCAAAAATGAATAGCCTCANATTATAAATTTGTATAATCATATTAATAATAATAATAATCTTAATATTATTGTTATCATTATAAAAAATTTAACAGAATTTGGAATACTAATAAAATAAAAAAAATGTATAAATAATGAAAAAAACCCGTCGTGTAAGATGACGAATAAAAATCATTCGTCATCTTTCCCTCTCACGTAATTTTTACCGAACTAACATTTATCAGTAACAAAAAGTATTGTAATAGAAATTGATTTTTTATGAGTTTGTAGGTATTTATTAGTACTTTCAAAATATTCAAGAGAGAAAGTTGAAAACCTTACCATAGAATATAACATATGTTAATTTTGTAGTTCTTTTAATCTCTAGTCTCTATCTCACTCTATATACTAATCTCTAGTCTCTAGTCTCCCTCTATATACTATTTTACTAAGCCCCTCTATATATGAGCCACCTGGAAGAATTTTACGTTATTTCTCGCATCAAAATTCGCCTTTTTCTTTTTTCGCCGCCTCTTCGGGTACCGTTCGACGGCGCTTGCGGTCCCGCGTCTTTTGAGTCATTTAATTTTGAGTCATTAAAAATTTATTAACCCTCATTATGAAGGCCTCATANTTTTTTTACAAAAATCGTATTTTTTTTATTAAGTTTAATGTCTGTTTTCACCATGAAGATAAAATAAAGTCCGAAATTTTTTTTTACTATTATAAAGTATATTACATTAGCTTTAATTTAAGATATATATAAAAGTGTCAGACCTTCCGGAACACTTTCAAAAGTTAAGTTGAAAAAATTAATTTTTTGTAAAAAAGTTGTCATTTTAAATCCCTTTTNAATAGCCTCAATGGTTATAAGAGAGGCATGGTTGTCCATGAGAAGAAGAAGTGGATGTGTAATACTTGGGCGACACATACGGTGCAAAATGTTTTAACGAAATTGGTAGCTGTCATCCATCCTGAAATATGTGGTACTACTGCTGAGCTCGAAGGGACACCTTCTAAAAATCTTGGATTTATTCTCTCCCTAGGATTGATAAAAAATGGAGGTAATTAATTTCCAGTAGCGCTCATGGCGCGCAAACATGTCACTGTGAACCCACGTTCGGCTGACGAAATTTTTATCACTCGGCGAGTACCAATGGGACTGATGACTTTTGGTGTTTTTGTTGCCACTGTGGAAAATCCTGACTCGTCAACGTAGATTTGTTCAGCTGTGAATGAGTATTTTAATCTGATTTCTTTAAGTAACTCAAAAAAATTACTAACGTTGACTCGATTAAATGCCATGAGTCTAGCAACTGATGTAGACTCAGGTTTTCTTAATGTTAGCTAACATTCTTTCATAAACTATTTAACAAAACCTTCACCAGCAGTTCTTTTTCTGCATTAAATCTATGGGCCACTCCATTTTTTTCAGCANAAAAAAAAAAAAAAAAAAAAAAAAAAACACATCTTAGTAAAACCAATACCTTCTCAGCTTCGCATCGAAGCTAAAAGTATTGTAATAGAAATTGATTTTTTATGAGTTTGTAGGTATTTATTAGTACTTTCAAATACTAATCTCTAGTCTCTAGTCTCCCTCTATATACTATTTTACTAAGCCCCTCTATATATGAGCCACCTGGAAAAATTTTACATTTTTTCTCGCATCAAAATTCGCCTTTTTCTTTTTTCTCAGCCTCTTTGGGTACCGTTCGACGGCGCTTGCGGTCCCGCGTCTTTTGAGTCATTAAAAATTTATCAACCCTCATTATGAAGGCCTCATTTTCCTTAAAATTAACACATAAGTTCAAACATANTGTTTTCGTGTTAAACCATAAGCTCTTTTATCAATATCAAACACGTATTGTTTCAATTCCTTCATTTGTGATTCAAAAAAAGTATTTTTATACCTCCCTAAATTTCGAGGAAAATCCACATCAATTTCTTTTACTTCTGAAATATGAACGATAAAAAACGATAAAATATCGTTTTTTTAATTATCTTCTTAAAATAGACTCGGGTACATTATATTTTATTGCAGCAGTGTTCAGACTCAAACATTTCTGTGACATCTAATATAACAAACATCATGTCTTTATCTTCCCAACTTTTCCTTTCACTTATTTTTACATATTGTAAATGTATGTTAATATTTAATTGATGTTACTATCGAAAGTAACTGTGAATTTATGACCAATTTTAAATTATAAATTTATTTGATAAATTTTATTAGTTGTTATTTATTACACTATTATATTATAAATTTGTATAATCATATTAATAATAATAATAATCTTAATATTATTGTTATCAATATAAAAAATTTAACAGAATTTGGAATACTAATAAAATAAAAAAAATGTATAAATAATGAAAAAAACCCGTCGTGTAAGATGACGAATAAAAATCATTCGTCATCTTTCCCTCTCACGTAATTTTTACCGAACTAACATTTATCAGTAACAAAAAGTATTGTAATAGAAATTGATTTTTTATGAGTTTGTAGGTATTTATTAGTACTTTCAAAATATTCAAGAGAGAAAGTTGAAAACCTTACCATAGAATATAACATATGTTAATTTTGTAGTTCTTTTAATCTCTAGTCTCTATCTCACTCTATATACTAATCTCTAGTCTCTAGTCTCCCTCTATATACTATTTTACTAAGCCCCTCTATATATGAGCCACCTGGAAGAATTTTACGTTATTTCTCGCATCAAAATTCGCCTTTTTCTTTTTTCGCCGCCTCTTCGGGTACCGTTCGACGGCGCTTGCGGTCCCGCGTCTTTTGAGTCATTTAATTTTGAGTCATTAAAAATTTATTAACCCTCATTATGAAGGCCTCATATTCCTTAAAATTAACACATAAGTTCAAACATGCAAATATAAAATAATATTATTTAATATTTTTATATTAACAATAATTTTATTATTAGAATTGAATTATGTTAATGAGGTTTGAACCAATGTAACAAAACTTATTCACTGTTGACAACCACTTCTACATCAGTTATATCTTTTGTATATTCTTTAATCACTTTTTCGATATTATCATTATTATTAATTTTAAAATATTTAGATATTTGTATAGGTCGAAATGGACTATATGTAATTGAACAGTGTACTTTCAGTTGGCTTGATGACACAACGTTGTATTCCAAATACGAAAAAGTCTTGATCAATGTGAATGAAATACCAGGCAAAAAAAATGTTTCTGGTCTATTATTAGTTATCTGAAATAAGATCATAAAAATTAATTTTAGACAATTTTTTTTTTCTTGATATAAACAGATATACGTTTAAAATGAACTAATAATAGTTGAAATTCGAACCGAACCTAGACCTTATCCTTTGGTTTTATTTTAAACATAAAAGAGATCCAATCATATGGTGAATGTAGAACTCAAAATAATTACATTACAACAGACATTTTACTTTCTACAAAATTCACCAAATTATATCTTCATGAAATATCGACGCTTACTAATTCCATAATTTATCCTAATTACAAGTTTTATAATTTATAAGTATAATACATGAATAAATATTGATCAAGTAATTAAAATTAATTTTGTAATTGATATTCAATAATTTTGTATTGTTATTTCCACGGAAATTGTATAAAAAGCTATGAAGTATTTGTATATAGGATGATTCTTTTAGAAAAAATGTTAGTAGAAATTATTAATAAAAAGAAAAGATAAATCAATTATTCTGACCCTCATTAGTTAATTATAATTTCAGTTATGAAATTTAAATTGTAATTTATCATAAGGCATTGATTGCTATAACATTTTTTTGTAAAAATTTCCTGTAATATATCAATATATTTTGATAGTAGATTTTTTTATAAAATAGCTTTGAAAAAATAATAAAAGGAATTGGCCTCTAATCATCCGTTTTTAATATTCCAATGGAGTTAACACTAATTTCTTAAAAACACTTTCAAACTGGTTTTTGCGCAATTACTTATTACAGTTTTTTTTTTTTAATTTGCGATTTTTACACAAAATTGTACTTTTCATCGCCAGGATTAGTCTTACGTCTAAAACTAACTTACAAAAATTCTAAGGCTATATTCAGTCGGTGCGAATTACATTTACAATTTATTATCAAATTGGAATGTGTAAACAAATTTTGTTCAGAGATATCCATTTCAAATGACATTTAGACAAGTATACAATATTATTACTAATTTAAAGTAGTTTTGAATCAAAGAGAGATCATTTTTTTATTTAAAAAATAATGTTTTTCTGTCTGTCTTCTATTTTAAAGTTATATATATATACCTCTTTATCATTTATAAACCAAGTTATATTATTAGTAAAATGTGTTGTTGGTGACGTACAATTTGCTCGAAGTTTTTCACCGTTTGTATATTTGAGTTTTTCTACTTTCAATATTGGGTGTTCTTTTTCTGCAAGTAACATTTTTATAAATAAAAACAAAATGTAATAAAATCTAAGATATAAGGTATAAAATAGCTAAAAAAATTATTTTTACTCATAAAATAAGAATATTTTATTGTTTAATTCGAAAAAAATTTTAGAAATTTTTTATTTTTCTCACAATACACTCTGTGTATATTATAATATAAATAATATATATACTATAATTTTTTTGCAACTTCTTTAAATTTTATAACAGTTAGAAAAAATCAATTTTTGTAGTTTTTGAAGGTCAAAGTTTTTAAAAATGTTCTTAACATTCAACAGTATACTAAATATCATTTAAACAAACATAATTTTAAATTTATGTTTATATTTTTTATTTTACTACAAAACTTTAAATTATTGGTAATAATCAGCTAGAAGTGTCAACTCAATGTGGATGGTTATTAGATCAAATGTAAAACGTTGTCTTTAATACGCAAAAAAAGGTTAACTTAAAATTTGCTTTTTTTGTGTATTAAATAAATTTAGCAGGTACTCAATTAATATATTAAAGATTCATTATTTTCGATCCACTTTAATACTTACGCAATACTATAATTTCTCTGGACGATTCATTTGATATTAAAGAAGGCGTATCAAGTGTGACTTTACATCGATAAATGCCACTAAAATCTCTGGTAACATTAATTAAGAACATTCTAATAAAATCAACCTCCTCTTTATATTCGTTGTAATTCTAAGAAATTATAATTCATTATTATTCTACATGAATTTTATTTTTATTCTATTGATAAGTAGTAATTAAATGGGTGATTAATTTTCAAAACTTACACTAATAAAAATATTTGGGTTATTGAAATCACTAGTATTAAGCGTATTCTTTGGAGAATAACGATATAATAATTTTTCATTATTATACCATTCTATTGAATTAATTGACTCATTTTCTTCAAGACCCGAAATGACACGAAATCATTACTGAATAACCTTCCATTGTAATGTCCGGTGTAATTTCGGTAAAAACATTAAAACTATTAACTTTACCTATAATTATTAAGTTATATATAAAAACAAGCTCCAAAAAAGTAGTAGGACACATAACTTAATAATGAAAAATTATTTTTAATTAATTTTTAGACAGAAAATACTATTAAACAATAATATTTTCTATTTCCAATATATTCTATCACTACCGGTTGACGTTATTATTAAAGCTTCCGTGTTAACCTAAGTGTTTCTTAAAAGCTTATAATTTCACAATTCCTTCTCAAGATCGGATATACGGATTTTTGTCTCTGCACACATTAAGTCAACTTTGTTAAATGTTTAAACAATTAGATTGATTCAAATGAAAATTATATTTTATAAACTATCGAATACATTATAAACTTTAATTTTATAATACGAGTAATAATGTTATTATACGAGTTGTCTCATGAAACTATATTTTGAATTCATCTAAATAATAAAAAATTCAAAATATAAATAAACATTTTACTTACCAAGTAAATAAGTACAAATTATGAACTTCAACTGTGTGATTAAAGCCATCATATTTTTTTTTTTATATATAAAATTAATAAAATCAATTTTATTAAACAAAACAAAAAAATAGTATATTTTTCCTTTACAAAAGATAACAATTTGGTATAAACTTTTAACGTAAAATAGATATTATGCTTCAGTAATAGAATCGAACAGTATCTGATGAAAATTAACATAAATTTTAATGTTATTCCAAGTTTGTTTGTACATTATATAAAAAAAAACTACTCCAAATAGACTAAGTCTAATGTTTGTTAAATGTTTAAATAATTGGATTATTTCAAGTCAATATAAAAACAATTGAACTATTAAACTTATATTAACTATTGAACTATTGAACTTATATTAAATGTTGAACTTATGACTCTTGCGGAAAATAAACTTATATATATATATTGAGAAATTTATTACAATAAGAAATAACAAAAAAATTCTCGATATAATTATTACATTAGGATTAATCATGTTCATAACTCCCTTCCAGGTTTAAAATTTATCAAACCTGTATAATAATATCAGAAAATTTCGGATTGATTGTAGTTTTAATATAATTTAAATTAATTTTCATATTTTTCAACTTTATTTATATTTTTTCATACAAAGTACATAATGAATAACATTTTTTATTTTATAAACGTGTAATTATTTTAAACTATTATTGTAATTTAGTATAAATAAATGAGTGAATATTTAATACTTTCTCTTCAAGTTTTTGAAATTTGTTGATCAAGAATTAATTTCTGAACTATTGATTTTACTTCAGATAATTCTTCATTAACAGATGACATCATATCTAAAAAAAAAAGACTAGTCTTAAGATTGTAACTACTACATAATATATTTTTCATTAGAGCTAACCCAATATTCTGATGATCAGAGAATAATATTTTTTTTTGATAAGAGATACTTAAAAATATTTTTGAAATAAACTTATTTAACTATTAGCTTGTCTCTTAAATGATATCCAAGGATAAATCACCCAGTAAATCCTTATAACGGTACATTAATCCATGTGTTATTAGGTTTATTTACAATAAATTAAATATTCCGCAAAATATTCAAATATGCATGTAAGTGAAATATTATATAATTATAATTTGTTTTTTAAATATGGAAACATGTTATATTCAAACCACTATTTTATTTTATTACATGTGGAAGTTATCAAAAACTCTAGGCAACTTACCATAAATATTTTTGTTGACAACTACTTCCACATCAGAATGGATTTTATTAAAATAACTGAATACACAACGTATTTTCAACTGATTAGTAGATAAAACGTCATATTCTAAAGACGAATATGTCTTAAACTCATTAGGAACACGAAGTGTTAATGGTTTGTTATTAGATATCTAAAAAAATAAATGATTATTAATATAATAATATTATATTAAATATTACCGTTAAAAATAGTTAAACCCTCATAAGGCATAAGAGACTTAAAAATGTTATAATGATTAACAAATTAAGAATATATCACACCCCTAAAATTCAAACATCAAAATATATGGTTTTTAACATTTTGTTGTTAATTAATATTTGGTATAAATTTCTGAGCCTAATGATACAGACTTAAAACAAGAAAGTTATCTTAAACTCAATTAAAATTCTATAAACAATATAATGGGATTTTTGAGTAAGTTATGTCAAAATGATATTTTTTTAAATATTTCGTTTATATTGTAAGGCTACGATATTCTACTAAAATGATTTTAAAAATAATATTTTTATTTTTTAAATAATTTAGTAGTTAATGATAATATATACCAGGGTGTTCAAAAAGTAAAGAAACTGGTCAATTGTTACAAACAATGAGAACGGTAGAAACTCTTTTCCTTACTTACTGAACACCCTATATACTTCACTCTTTATATAATATAACTATATAATATAACGCCCCAGACCCGGAGCCCTACGAGCCTTACGCGCCTTCGACGAGTAAGATTCTTCGGGCCGTCATCATAAGTTGATTCCGGTAGGGGTGTAACAAAAATATATTAAAAATGTTATTATTAAAATTCAAAAAGAGAAAAAATATAGTAAATTTGATTGTAATTGTACTATAAAAATGATAGTAAAATGTATTGGATATAAGGTTAACGTTTGTTAATGAGGTATTCCCTTCACCCTTTAGGCCTATTCAAAAATTATTTTAGGAGGGTATTTAATATTTTTTACTTTGTTAAACATATTATAGAATTTTTTTTGCTAAAAATTAAAGTAATGATGAAAAAAAAGAACATTAGGTACTTATTTATTAGAAGTTGCCTAAAAAAATATTGATAGCCCTGGTTCAAGGGGGGCCCATATCTCCCTTAAATACACCCCTGGTAAACACAAAAATTATCAATATTCTAATTATAATAGTTGTGTTCATATTATAGAATAATTAAAAAAAATTCAGCGGGTTATTATACGTAGACTATGTAAAAATTTAATTTTGTTAAAAATATTGGTAACTGCGATTTAACGTTGGACAGCATAGTTGTCATAGATAAATCATAATTTAAACGATAAACTCATAGACTCATACATCATTTATGAGAAGAAAAAAATTATTAATAATGTACTGTTCTGATAATGAAAGTACAAACTTATATAATTATAACCGTCTTAAAATTTATATATAACATATAATATTCCTCGATAAGGTATAGTGCTATGTGCAAATGCAAAATAGTGTCCTAATAAAAATACATACTACACCATATAATTAAGGTTCATAATAAACGTATGAGCAGACAAGAATCAATGCGCATATTAAAACCATGCGCGTGGACTTAAAAAAAAAAAACCTCATAAAACGGTGAAAAATGAACGGATTGAATTAATTTTTTTATCATATCTCAGGAATATTATTGGGCGGGTCTGATGAAAATTTCAAACCTTAAGTCGTAAAACGCTGGCGTCAGCGAGTGTTTTTCTCAAAAACGGTCGAAATTTTAAAACGCTCGCGGGAGAGCGGCAAAAATTTTCCGACCTTCTCCAATAATTTTCCCGGAGTCTAGTGACCGAGTGCTTTTGTTGAAAAAAAAATTTTGAAAATCCGAGCACGCTAAATAATTTTTCTAGAAAAGCGTTTTTTTCCTTGTTCTATTATATAATAAGATAGTACTACAGCAGTTTAATATAGTGACTTTAATAACTTTCAGATTCAATACTTTATTAGTTATATCTACACCGGCACACGATATTTTTATGAGTAGTAATTAATCTAAATATATTTTAAAATCGTATACATGCCTCTTGGTCGTTTACAAACCAAGTAATATTAATTGGAAACAAAGTAGTTGGTGATATACATTTTGCCCGAAGCTTTTTACCAACTAAATAATAAGTTTTTTCGACTTTCAAAACTGCATTGTCTTTTTCTGAAAATAAAATAAAAATAATAATTCAGCCTGAACTTTTACACACGAATCAGCTAAAATTTTTTTCTTCATTAAGTATCAGCGACGCATTTAAGGGGTTATAGCACTCCCTTTGAATAATTACTAATTTTCATTATAAAGACATTATTTCTTTGTAATTGATTGATTTTTAATAATATGATTTTTAAGTCCCACGGTACCTAAGTTAGTGATTTTCCAAAAAATCATGTCATCAGCAAGGCAAATGTTTGAAGTATTATCAATAAAAATTCCGTAATAATCCATCCAGTTTTAAAAAATTATTTCAATATAAAATGAAAACTAAAAATATCAATATTGACTGACTATTTTATAATAGGTGTTATTTTTGGGACACTTCTCTTTATTACTGGGACTGAGGGGAATTTGTTCAAAATTATGACATTTATAGTTTCAACTATTTCCATTTTATGATCTTTTTAAGAATCGGTCAAATAGGAACGGGAATAATCACGTATACGTACAAAAAAAACAAGACAGAGTAAAACTAATAGTTTCTTAGCTACGCATCGAAGCTAAAAATGATTTTGTGAAAAGTAAATAATTTTTACTCTTCACAAAATCATTTTTTGATATACGCTATTTTAACGAATAAAGTTTCTCCATTGATATTAAAACTAAATTAGTCCATTTAAAAATTTGAGTTATGTAACATCAATACAATAAAATTATATACAAATTGAGACACTAACGCAAAACTATCATTGGAACGCTCGCAGATGAACTAATTCTTTCACTTTTCATTGAACACATATATGTACCACTAAAATCTTGGGTCACATTTTTTATGAATAGACGCTGAGGATCCGATTTGTTGACCTGTAAAAATTAAATTTTAATGATAATTTAAATATTTGTATACAGATTGGTGACGTGAGAGGATCGATGGACACGAAATTATTGAAATTACTCTGTATTATATACTTGATTGGATATTGACAGCACGAATATTATAATTTTAATTTGTTGGGAATGTGATATTTTTAATAATAAATAAGATTTTATCTTTTTCATATTATGTTAATAGTAGACATAAAAATATAATTATTTTTATAATCNATGTTAATAGTAGACATAAAAATGTAATTAATTTTATAATTTTACTTCGAGGCTTAAATTTAAGTGATTGAACACTTCAGTATTCGTTGAATTCCACGGAGAATATCGATATAATAATTTATCATCCTTGAACCATTCTATCTTATGAACAGCTTTGTCTTTTTTATAATTATATCGACAATTCATGATTGCTGTATCTCCTTCGATAATGAATTCATTTATGTCACTTATAACACTTAAACTTGTTATTTTACCTACAATTACAATTGTATAAATTTGAATTTTTGACTTACTTAAAACTTAATTACATGAATTTAAAAAATCGACGCCCTAGTTCAAAACTGTAACAACTCAAAAAATCAATTTTTTCAGTATAATAACTTAGCTATATTGAATTGGATTTTAAACTTTAAATGTTGAATAATGAACTACAACTTAGAGATCAAAACCCAAAGTCTAAATGTTTTGAATTGTCTCAGTTTTGAACTGAGGCGTCAAAATAATATATGTACATGTACTATAACAAAACAAAAAAAAAAGGGATATGATTTAAATATTTTCTAAGCATATAACATTAGATGAATTATAATATTAATAAATATTTAAAATGATTTTCCTCTTAAATACATTTTTTTTCTCAGCAAATATGATAGTAAACTTGATAAACTTAACTATAAAAAAATTATATAAATATAAATTTGAATTTACAGTATATTACAAAAACAACATATTTACGAAACGATTAACCTCAATTTTTAACGACTTTAAAAGTTTTCAATGCACTTTAAGGCATATATTAGCCGTTGACAATGGTAAAACGTACATTTAATATACTTTTTAATACTTTTGTCGTTTTTATATTTGATATTTTTGGTTAAATATTTGATTTACAAAAAGTATATATAGTATAAATAATTAGATATTCGATCATTCAATTAAAAGAGTTTGAGACTTGTATAAAACTAAAGTTATCTTTTTAATAATATTCATAATCCAGAGAAATTACGTAGTTCAAAAAATACATTGAAAAATATTATAAAAGTAAAAATGGTTGCTAGACGGACATTTGATGACTATAATATAATCAATATTTTGTGTCAACGAAAATAATTAATATAAAAGATATGTAGTTTTAAGTTTTATCTTACCGATTANACGAAAATAATTAATATAAAAGATATGTAGTTTTAAGTTTTATCTTACCAATTAAACAAATACTTATAATTATGTTCCACCACGCAAAAACAGCCATTATTATTGGTATTAACAAGTAGTTAACTTATAAAATAAATCACTCGACCTATTAAAAAAATTAATTTAGAATTTATTATCAATATTTTTATTGTGAAACAAGGATTATGAATCCAAAATTTACTACCAGTGTTGCATTAGTTATAGTTCTAAAGCAAATGAACAAATGATCGTTTGTCAGTTGAACATAACATCATTTAAAAATATTCTCAACATTTTATTGTATACAAGATAAAAACATGGCCTATTCTTTTTTAAAAATCCATTAATTATTTAATAATTGAATATTCATATTTCTTTAATCAAAGTAATAAAAAAAGATTATTTAAAACTTATTGAGTTATTTTCATACCTTGATACAATATTAGAGGATTCACTGGCCTTTTTTTAAAAGAGAGGTAGTCGAGTAGTAGCTGTACCTAAATTTATTATTAAATATATTATGAACACTGAAATCAATCAAAGTACTCTTTGCTCAAATGTTTGTTTAATTTTCTTATCTTTAAATCAACAACTTAGGGCCAAACTACAATTTAATTTTTTCAATTAAAACATACATTTTAATTAATTTTTAATAACTATTTTTTTATTACATCATTGTAATAATAATTCAGAATTTCCATCATGTATTTTATTACAAGTATCTGAAAACATATTTTTCTATTATTACTATTATTTTTTGTTGGTTGAAAATGATTTTTAATGCATTAATTAAACTCTAAGTTCTTTAATTTTTTTTTATAGATTATATAGATAAAAAAAATACAGAGCCTACTTCGATGGAATCGATAATTAATCTAGCTGCACTGAATATGCTGACTTTTAGTGGCAAAATGAAGAGTGGTCAGCCTTTTTTGATATGTTCCGACGCCTGGTACATTTTAGTGCGACTATAACCCCAGTTAAAAAATTCTTTTATTTCAAATAATCGTCAAATGGAGAAACAGCTAGTTGTATAAGATGCATTGAGACAACGGACGCCAACTATGATGCAGTCTGGATTACATTAATTGAACGTTATAATAATAAAAAGGTGTTAGTCCAAAGACATGTCCGAAATATTGTCGAATTAAAACCGTTACAAGATAGTACTGCTGATTGATTACGTACATTAATCGACGACTTAAATAGTGATATGAAAGCTCTAGAAACTTTAGACGAAAAAACCAGGAGACTGGGGTCCTTTACTGTTGCACATAGTGAGCTCAAAGCTGGATCGAGAAACGTCGAAGTCGTGGAAGATAAAGTAACACAAGAATAAAGGACCAACTGTCAAGGAATTAACAACATTTATAGTCAAACGTTTTCAAATAATGGAATCCATAGAATCAACGCAATTCAGTAATGATTATTTATGGCCTGTTGACAGAAAAAGTAGTTTAGTAAAACATCCAAATAATAGTCGAAAAATCAACTACTATGATAACTACAGCAATTAAGTGTTGTTTTTAATCCGCCGCACAATATACATAAGTGCCCATCTTTTATCGCGTTATCGGTAACCGAGCGCATATCTAAAGTAAATAAAATAGGCCTGTGTAAGATCTGTTTACGTAAACACGACAAAACTAAATGTTTTGGTAGATATTGATTAAAATGTAATGATCCTCATAATACGTTGTTACATTTAAATAACGGTGTAAAATCAAATCGACCTGAAATCCAAACAAAGAGCAATTCGAGTGAGTCATCTATTACACGAGTACCAGCGGCGTATTTATATGCAGGCCTATAGGCAACTGCCTAAAATGGCTGATTTTAAGGGGCGGCAAATATTGAAGGCCGATAAATTTATAAAAAGCAAGTTATTTTAGCTTCGATGCGAAGCTTAGAAAGTATTGGTTTTTCTATGTGTTTTTTTTTTTTTTGTGTCTCTTACCACTTTTTCTCAGCTCTCACCGAACCGATTTCTTTCAACGATACGTCAAAAGATCACAAATCGTATCTAGTCGAAGACATTTCCCTCAAAAATTTCCCTCGTTCCCCGTAAATTGAGGAAACCTCCAAAAAAATTATAAATTAAAAAAACGATAATTTTCGACATTTTTTCAATTTTGTTTTACTTAACACTGCCATAACTTTCTCAAAAATAAACAATATAATTTTTTTTTATAGATGTTTGATGTCTTTACCTATCATTTGGTATATTTTTTTTATAAATTTAACTCTTTACCTGCCCACAGGGGGGGATTTAAAATGAAAACTTTTTCACAAAAAATTTAATTTTTCAACTTAACTTTTGAAAATGTTTCGAAAAGTCTGACACTTTTATATATATCTTAAATTAAAGGTGATGTAATATACTTTATTATGAAAAAAAAAAATTTGACTTCTGGACTTGTCTTTGTGGTGAAAATAGACATCAAAGTTAATAAAAAATTACAATAAATTTAAAATAATTCTTTTTTATATTTTTAACTTAATAATACTATAACTTTTCGGAAAATGTATGAATAAGCAAATTTTTTTTTTATAGATGATTGATGTCTTCGCCTATCATTTGGCATATATTTTGTATAAATCTAACCCTTTACCTTTCCACAGGGGGAGATTTAAAATTACAACTTTTTCACAAAAAATTAACTTTTTCAACTTAACTTTTGAAAATGTTCCGGAAAGACTGACACTTTTATATATACCTTAAATTAAAGCTAATGTAATGTACTCTATTATGCAAAAAAAAATTTCAGACTTTATTTTGTCTTCACTGAGAAAAAGGCTACCAAATGCTATTTTTATGAGAAAATTCTCGATTTTATATTTTACATTTTTTACTTTAAAATGCTATAACTTTTTATAAAATGTATGAATCAAAACAATTTTTTCATGAGAAGTATTATTTATATACATTCGACATACTTTATCTTATCAGGATATAAATAAGGAAATAGCAGATAATGTAGCTTTTGGAATAATCCACCAATTTTCTAAAATTAATCACCAACTAAAGATTTGCATCGAAGCGTTTTTTTTATAGTGATTTTAATCACTGTCAAATTTTATTATACTTGACCCAACTATGCTACGTCAACACTGTGCCGCGACCCCTGTGCTGGGTTTTTATATTGTTGTTATGACATTGACTTATAATAATTATTATTATAATCGTTTTCATTTATTGTGTATTTGTTATATGTATATAATATAACAAAGTTTAATCTATTTTCAATTTCCTGATAACAATAGCAGAGATTATTAATAAAATACGAGTTTATTACTTTAATAGTACCTTTCTTATTGCTGTCTATATATATACAAGTCAAAAACGAAAAATTTACTCGCATGACTAAAAAGTGATTACCCCTAAGATAGTACTAGTATTTATTTAGATATTTTGGATATTAAAGGATAAATAAACATAAACATGTATATTTTAAGTAGACAAATTGTTTATTTTTAAATCAACTAAATAAGTAACTAGATAATGAAGAAATCATATAAATTTATTTTATTAATATTCTAAAATGTTTTATCAATTAATAACAACAATGCAATTTTGAGTTGATGTTAAGAAATTGTTTAAAAGGACATAATTTACAGATCATTTTAATCGACGTTAATCATATAACGCTAAAAGACTGCGCTAAAAATCCAATATTGACTATATTATATTTTAAAATTAACACAAAGTGTGATTTTGTTAACTAACTGCAAGTGAATTTTTGCTATGAAAATTCTGACTTCATTAAGTTAAAACTGAATTCTGTATTTATTTGGTGTTGGCAACGATCGTACGCCATTTTTGCTTACTGAATCTCCTTTAAATAATCCATCTCTTTGTAAAGAACCTCTTCTTCCTTGCATTCCACCGGGAGAAAATATTCTTAATTTAGATTCAACATTAGTCATTTTATTTACTTCCGATGTTCCTAAGCTAGCATAATCAATTTTCCTAGGAGGTGGTATAAAACTTCTTTGTGTTTCTTTATAAAACGATCGACCGGGCGATTCTCTAGCCATGACTCTTGGTGGATCCAAAATGCTTTTACCCGGAGAGTCTCTAGGGCCGACCATTATTGCTCTCTGCGGAGATTCTCTTGTAATACTAGATCTTAATTCTCTACTTACACTATTTCTCGAAGGTGAATCTCTGGAAACGGTGCAGGACGAATCTCTTGATGTAGTATCATCTGATTCTCGACTAGACCTTCGGTAACGGCCATCAGGAGGTAAGGGAGATTGCCGAGGTGATCGTTCAAGCGATTCAAATTTAACTGACGAAGGACATTCTGTTGGTGTATTTGGAGCTGTACTTGTATCACTTGACATGTCCAATGAGTTTAAAGAGTTTTTACGGCTATCCGTAAAATGGCTATAATCGCTCAACTTTTTCACCTGGTTTGATTTGACATCAGAATCACTAAGTCTACCATATTCGCTGAGTTTGTTACTTGATTTTCGGTGACGTTTAGGTCGAGGAAGAGAACTAGGCGGTAAACTTCCACAACGATTATCCTGGGTTTGACGTTGTGCCTGAGAACATAATCCTTGTTTTTCCAAAAGAATGATGTCATCAGATTGGTGACCAAGGAAATTACCAGTTACACTCTCCAATAATGGTTTGGGTGTTTTCGCTTTTCGCGACAGAGAGCCCGTATGAGAGAAGCCTGGAAAACAGCAAAGACCTCTCTGAAAACAAAAACAAACACGTCCCCCCGTCCAGATTCCCAGTCAATGATATCTCTTTTTTTTAATACTTAAACCGAAATTAAGGAAAAAACACTCAAGCCTGATTAACTCACTCAAAATCATGAATTAGTTGGTAATAACACTACTAAAAATAAATAATCGTATCATTTCTTTAAATAATGAATTTTATGGACATTTTTGCATTAAAATTATTTTGACATAATAAAGCCATATTAAATTTCTCTAAATTAAATTAATGTTGGGTTATTTTATAAAAAAAACATATATATACAATGTAGAATATATCTAACTGATAAATCTTATAACCTTTATAGAGTAATCATTTAAATGTTTTTTATTTTTTACAATTTTTGCATTTGTTGTAGTTTATGTTAAAAGTATATTTTCATTATTTATTTTTGATAATAAACATTTTTTTTTTAATTTAAAGTACTAGTTTTCAGTATTTTTTTTTTTTAATTTTAATAGGACAATAACAGTTTTAGGACGCGTAACTATTGAGTTACAGGCATTTTAATATATAGAGTATGTAGAGTATGGGTTATAAATATATGATAGTACGAGCTGTACCCACCTGTGCTACATATCCACTCTATATATTAATATGCTTATAACTATAAGTATTTGTTCTAAAATTGTTATTGACCAATTAATCATACTGGTAAGAAAAGTGTTATAAACGGATCATTTTGAAAAATAATAAAATAGATGGTTATAACGTAATCTAAGAATACATAAGTTGTTTAAAAAAAAGTTACTTTGAAATAATAATTTTTTCAAAAGTTATAGCAGTTGGATCTATTCTACCTGTATATATATATATATACATGATGATTAAATTACCATAAACCACGTAGTAATTACAATAACATTGATTATTTTTCCATTAGTATCTTTTAGTTCCATGTATAACTCAATTTATCAATGATGAAGTATTTTTATGTTCATCCCTTATACCTTATAAGGGTAACAACTTTATTTTTTTAAATGATAACAGACAAAACTATTTAGCTTATTTATTAGATATGCAATAAAAATTCTGAATATTGTCATTATTATACATAAGCGAGAGGAGTGAGACTGAGGAATATCTAATAATAAGAATAGCAGCACCCGCGATTCACCTCCAAACATTACTTTAAATTATTAATAACTTCTGAAATACTGATCAAAAAGTTATCATCGACTAGTCATTTTCTTAGATTATTATTTAATAGATAAACTAGTTAATTATGTATGTTTCCATTTGAAAAAATAAAATTGACAACCTTATAAGGTATAAGGTATAAGGGGTGAAATTAAAATATACTTAGAGAAAAATAGAACTAAAAGAAACTAAAAAACAAATTATCAGTATAATTTTTATTTTTCAATTAATGAAGTGATTCGTGATAAAAGAATCACCTTGTATACTAACATAGTTATATATATATATATATATATATATATAGTTGTTGGCATTGATATAATAATCTCAAAAACAATCATATTAATTAAAATAAAATTCCTGTCAAAATATACATACGCTACATTGTAAGTATAATTTTGATGTTTTGAATAATTTAACAGCTGTATTATGTTTCTTATCTCTCAGAAATATTCATTAAAATAATAATAATGTCAACATGGGAGAACGTGTTAGTTAATGCACAAAAACAGTACTAAAATATTTATATTTTATTTAATATTAATAAAAAAAATAACTCAAAACAAACAATAAATAAGTTTATAGATACAAACCATAAAAAAATAGTTATAATACATTAAAATAAAAATATTAATATCAAAACAAGTACATGACATCAGAAACTGAATCAGTATAAGATGATTCTGCAACAGTGTTGTTTACCTTGTTTAATAGTTGAGAATCCAATTCTTTTAATTGATCATCCAAAGATTTGTGATCAAAACTTTGATTTGTTGATGAATATTTATTAATATGATGATGATACGAACTGTCTACACTGCTAGTATATGAATTATTTGAACCAAAACCTAAATTTGCAAATAATTTAATTAATCAGGCGTGTAGGTAAGGTAGGATTTGGGGGGTCAAACACCCGTTGAGAATAGCTATGTATCAACAGTCTTTATATTTTTTATTTAATTACCATAACAAGAGATTTTAAATTAAAAAAACCCAGCACAGTGGGGTCGCGGCATAGTGGGGATGTTGCATAGTTGGGTCCAGTATAGATTTAATCTGACAGTGATTAAAATCACTATCATAAGAAACGCTTCGATGCAAATCAGTAGATAGTGTTTAATTCTAAGAAATTGGTGGATAATTACAAAAGCTACATTATCTGCTAGTTTCTTATTAATACCCTGATTAAGATAAAGTATGTCGAATGAAAAAGGGATTATTAAAAAATATTATTTCTCATAAAAAAATTGTGTTGATTCGTACACTTTTCAATGAGTTATAGCATTATAAAGTTAAAAATGTAACCAACCCAACCCAACATCAACTCCTATTTCCTTAATTATATCCAGATTAGTAATTATTTTAATTATATATTATATAATTTTTATAATTAATTATTTTCAAATTATTATTGATTTTTAATATGTTAAAAGTAATCATTTTGAACCTACTTCTTTTTGTTCTTTAAAGTGAAAGTTTTAATAAAAAAAAAATGAATTTATTACCATAACTTTTAACTCAACTTGCAAGTTTGAAATAAATATTATTAAATAGAAAAAAATGAAATTGGTAGATTATTTCAAAAACAACAATAACACTTATTCCCTTAATTTTACCCCGATTTATAACTATAATATATGAATACATAATAATTACAGTAATTAAATTGAGTATGAAAGTGGTATTCAATAATATAATATTGTAATTTTTACGGAGATATTATAAAAATAAAAAGGAGTTGTATATTCATATACTTTTAATGCGTATACAAATTTAAAGGAATTTATGCAATACTTTTTAATAAAAAAATTTTGTTACTTATGAATAAATACACTAAACAAAAGGAACTTTCATCAGAAAAAAAATATACTTTTCTAAATAAACTTTTCGTGATGTTTTCAAATGTGCAATTAAACTTTTTCTATTACTTCTAAGTTTTAATATTATTACTTATTATTAAAAAATAAGTATTTACATATAAAAAAAAATAATTAAGAACAAAAAAAATTGTATTAAATTAATACTGATTTTGATTTTTAATATGTTAAAGGTAATCATTTTGAACCTATTTTTTATTGTCTTTTAAAGTGAAAGTTTTAATGAAAAATACCTTCTCAGCTTCGCATCGAAGCTAAAAAATGAATTTGTTACCATAACTTATAGTTCAACTTGCAAGTTTGAAATTGACATTATTAAATTGAAAAAAATGAAATTTTTAAGATTAATATGCAATCTGGAAATTTTATAATTACTAATTACAGTACATTTGTCAGAAAAATTCGATTTTTTTACATTTTTATCGTAATAGATAACTGAAATAGAAAGAATAGTAATCATATCCTAATAACTTTTGGTGTTTAAAAAAATTCTGCAATTGAAATATTCAGAACTTAATTAATTTTAATAATTTACTTTAATTAAATGAACCAATCAAACCAAAGTAGTTAAAAAGATTTACTCAATTGAGCATATTATCAAAAATATAATTATAATTGTAAAACTCCATCGTTAACTTCAGGTGAAACTAAAAATCATTTTTTTTTTAAATTTATGATTTATATAGCAAAATATTACTAAAAAATTTGGCATATTATAGACTGGTAGTAGCACACAGAAATAGAGTTAAAAAATTAATAAATTATAAAGTAAAATTATTTACTTTTGTAGTTGAATACTTTTATCATATCAAATTTAATTCGACAATAAATAATTTAAGAATATTAAAAATTAATGATTTTAATTGTTTGTATGGACAAATCTAGTTAAGCTACTTTTTATTTGAATAAGGAATATTTTTTTGATTTTTAAGAGTAATAACTTAAACTAATCATTAACTTAAATATCATAAACTTAAATGAATCATTTGACGTATCGTTGAAAAAAGTAGGTCTAGTGAGGGTTGGCAAAATAAATCGTAGCCAGAAAAAGAACCACATAGTAAAATAATATTAACATGAATATCAATTTCTTCTCACGAGGGGAGACTATAGTGATAAGATCCTTTATATTTATTGAAATTATTGAATCTAAATGAGATAAATATCAAATGATTTGAAAATTCTATTCTAACTCAAAAAAAAAATGCAAAATTTTAGAAGCCACAAACGGATTTGAACCTCGTACCCTAGGCGTTAAAGATCAAGGTGTTACCCATTCGGCAACTATTCGTTGATTTTTGTTGCATGATAAAATTGGCTATTTAAGCTAACTCAAATTTAAAAATTACTTTTTCGACTTTAAAAAAGTAAAAAATGTTAATAAGTATAATATCATATGTCTTATGAACTTTATTCTATGTCAATGAAATTATATAATATTCATGAAAGTCAGTTTATTCCCCTAATAAAATATTTTAAAATAAAATAAAATACAAAACCTAGAATTTTAATAAAAAATAGCATATTTTTAAATACGGTAGCCTTTTGCGCATAGAAGATAGGTCGTCGGGACAAATTTTTTTTTTTCATTTAGTAGTACATAAAATAAGCTTTAATTTGATATATGTTTAAAGGACGCAGTATTTCCGGAACATTTTCAAAAATTAAGTTGAAAAAGTTAGTTTTTGTAAAAAAGTTGCTATTTTAAATCCCCCCTGTGAGCAGAATAAGTGTTAGATTTTCAAAAAAAAATGATATCAAATGAAAGAAAATTACCTAAGGTTTCAATATAAAGAAATATTATTTTGATTAGTTAATATTTGAAAAAGTTATGGCAGTTTTAAGTACAAAAAACATCGTTATAAAAGGTGATTTTTATCGCAAATATTACATTTTTTTTATAATTTCGACAGCCATTTGCACATAGAAGATAAGGTGTCGGGACAAATTTTTTTTTTTCATTTTATAGTACATAAAAAAAGCTTTAATTTGATATATGTTTAAAGGACGCAGTATTTCCGGAACATTTTCAAAAGTTCAGTTGAAAAAGTTCTATTTTTTATACAATGTTTCAAAGTTTGAACCCCCCCTATATAAGGGGAAATTGTCTAATTTTAATAAAAAGTATGTCAAATGGAAGATGTACTTATAATGTATTTAGAAAAAAAAAAATTGTGCTGATACATGCATTTTTCGAAAAGTTATAGCATTTTTAAGTTGAAAATTAAAAATTGAAAATCGAAAATTTTAACACAAAAATAGTGTTTTTTTAACTACGGCAACCGTTTACATGCAGAAGATAAAGTGTCGGGACAAATTTTTTTTTTTCATTTTATAGTACATAAAATAAGCTTTAATTTGATATATGTTTAAAGGACGCAGTATTTCCGGAACATTTTCAAAAATTAAGTTGAAAAAGTTAGTTTTTGTAAAAAAGTTGCAATTTTAAATCCCCCCCCATGAGCAGGTTAAGTGTTAAATTTTCAAAAAAATTATATCAAATGAAAGGAAAATATCTAAGGTTTTAGTTTAAAAAAAAATTATGTTGATTTGTTGATTTTTGAAAAAGTTATGGAAGTTTTAAGAAAAAAAAGTGAAAAAAATGACAAAATTTGTCGATTTTTAAATTTGTAATTTTTTTGGATATTTCCCCCATTTGCGGGGAACGAGGGAAAATTTTTAAATTTTTAAGGGTAATGTCTTCAACTAGATACAATTTGTGATCTTTTGACGTATTGTTAAAAGAAATCGGTCCAGTGAGAGCTGAGAAAAAGTAGTGACAGACACAAAAAAAAAAAAAAAAATAAACACATCATGGTAAAATTAATACCTTCTCAGCTTCGCATCGAAGCTAAAAAAAAATTAATTAACTTTATAGAAAACTGAAAAAAAATAGTTTTGTAGGCACAAAAATGTGTCTGTTATGTATAATAACTTTTATAGTATATAATACTAAACTATATTCACTACAAATCTTACTATTTTATATTGAATTATTTGTTAGGTTTGAAACAAAGTTGGTTTTAAAATAATGTGTTTTTTTTTGTATCTGTCTATGATAATTTTCAATTCTAACTTGACTAATTTTGTTGATCTTCGAGTCTTAAGAACCCGAATTCAATCTAGTTGAACATATCAATGTCAAAAAATGAAAAAAAAAACCTTCAATATTAGAAATTAAAAAAAATATTATAATATGCTGCTGTAAAATATGTCATTTAAAAATAAATGTTCATATATTTTAAAACTACTATAACTTGGTTTCTAAAATTTTCGATTTTCATGAAATTTTGATTAAGTATACTAGAGACAACAAGCTTTCTTTTCGTATGCTTTCTATAAAAATCCAATGAAAAACATGAGTACAGGAAGGGTTTGAAAGAGACCATCCATGCATCTAAAAAAATTATTTTCAATTCAATTTTTGAAAATGTTCTGTGGATCTGACTGAACTTTTAACCTATACCAAATAAAAATATTGGAAGTGTACTAAATATAAAAATCCATAATCATCTATACTCCCTGCTTCTAGAATAATTCTAGAATTTTCAATTATTGAATATGTTTATAACTAAAAATTAAAATATTTTTTTATTTACTGGCAACTTTATTTTTTTTTATCATTTGAGTTTTCTGTTTTTATATAACTGTTGTCAAATAAAAATAAATTACCTACATAAAAAAGGTTAAATGATGTGTTCACATAAGATTCATAACAAAGTTGTATTAATAAATAAAACTCAATTAAATTTTACTTAAGTCACATCAATACTCAAATATCCTTCTAAAAAAATATTAAATCACAAAAATTATAATTGATTTTTACCAAGGTCATCTGAAGTTAAATCTGTGTTGTTTAGGCTAGAATGAGGAGTATGGTGACCTAAACAGATACTAGGATAAGATCCTGAAACATCTTTTTCAAAACTATGTTTTTTTTGTAACACTCTAATCATAGCGTCTCGCTCTGCTAATCTCGACTCTAATTCTTTCATTCTAAAAATTACATTAAATAAATAGCATTAGTTTAAATAGTTATCAGCTTATAAGCTATATAAATTTTTTTATTTTACCGAGACTCCAGCTCGCTAACTTTTTTCTGAGCAGCATGCACTTCTTCCATCTGTTTTAATTTGTCTGAACGAGCTTCAGCAATAAGTTTTTCAGTTTCTTGGCCAGTTTTTTCTAAAGCTGCAATTTTAGCATCCCTAAAATAAAAATTCAAGAATTATTCAACAAACTGAAGTGGTATAATAGTTATTTAATACTTAGGTATGCTAGCTGCATCAATAGCTGCTTGTCGTAGTTCACTTTCTTCGAGATATCGTTGTTCCCATTTTGCAACTTCACCTTCAAGACGCATTATTTTTTCATCTTTTTCACGTAACATTCGTTTTAATTCTGGTAAACTTTCACCTGGTTCGTTATCTAAAGAAAAATTTATTTTAATAATTTACAATTTTATAGAATTATATAATTAATATATTTACCCGTAGAACCATCTTGAGAATTATTATTATTACGAGCTCGTTCATTCCGCAGCTCACGCTCTAATTGAAGTCGTAATTTTCGTTCAGTCTGTTCTCGGCGATCACTAGCTAGTTGAAGAGATGATAGGGCTCTTTGTAAATGAGCAACCCTTTCTACATGCAATTGTTTTTTACGACATTCTTCTTCTAGCCGAACAACATTAGATTGTGCATTAGTTAATGCAGTATCTAAAATATCTATGTGAGTTCGTTGTTCTTCTAGTGTAGCACGTTGAGCAGCTAATTCAATTTCTTGTCTGTCTTTAGCTGCTAATAGTTCTTTATCTATGTATATAAGTTGATATAGTAAATTTACATAAGCCATATATTAGAGAAAAAACCCAGAAAAATAGGGACAAATATAGATGATATCTGACAGTAATTAAAAAAATACTTTGATGAAAATCTGTAGATAGTGTTTAATTTTTACAAGAAATTTTCGAATTAATTCAAAACCAACATGAACTCCTGTTTTTTTATATCTTGATTACAAGTTTTATGATTTATAAGTATAATATATGAATAAATACTTACTATAGCAATTAAATTTAGTGTAAAATTGATATTAAATAATTTAATATTATAAATTTTAAGGAGAATTTATAAAAAAATATTAAGTTTTGTATACATGATGTTGTGGCATTTAAAGTAGTAAAAATAAAATATGAAAAAAAATTTTTAATACAAAAGTAGCATGTTTTTTTAACTACAGCAGCCATTTGCAAATAAAAGAAATGACGAGGTGGCAATTTATTTTTTTAACTTGTAGACCATAACATAAGCTATATTTTGACATATTTTTAAAATTTAAAGTATTTCCAGAACATTTTCAAAAATTAAGTTAAAAAACTAAACTTTTCATGTAAAAGTTACTATTTGGAATCCCTCCTATGGGCAGACAAAGGGTCAAATTTTTAAAAAATGTATACCTAAGGTATTTATAAAAATTATTTTAATTTGTTCATAATTCAAAAAGTTATGACAGTCTTAAGAAAAAAAAAGTTAAAAAAATATCATAATTTTTTAAAAAATTTTTTACATTTACATGGAAGCTAGGAAATTTGTTCAATTTTTGATGATATTTTTAAATAAATACAATTTGTGATTAATTGAAGTATAATTAAAAAATATCGGTCCAGTAAGCACTGAAAAAAGTGGTGACAGACATGAAAAAAAACCACATAATAGAAAAATTAATACCTTCTCAGCTTCACATTGAAGCTAAAAATTATAATGGTACATACTTTGGGTAATTAACTGAGCAATCATTGTTTCTCGTTTTACCATTTGATTAGGATCAACCATATTGGAAGAAGACAATGATTGATCGCGTAAAGAACGATTTGCTTCTTGTAATCGTCTAACCTCTGCTTGCAATTTCAATCTAGCTGTACGTTCAAGTCTTTCCCTTCTTTCACTTGATTCTACTAACTCTTGGTGAGAGCGATACACTTTAGATACTTCTTGCTCTAACTATAATACATAATAACATACTAAAATATTATATATTAATACGTATACTAATATAATATTATTTAAGACATTTTTTTTATTGAAGTAAAATGTTAATAGTCGAGCTATTTTTATAGATTATTAAATTTAAATTTCTCTCTTAGCAAACAGACAATATATAAATCTTGGACTAAATATTTCATATAGGTTAATTCAAATATTTTTTTAATATCATTTTTTTTTTTTTCTATCACATTTCAATAATGTGCAGAATGGAAATGTCAACATAATTTAATATTACAACAATATAAAAAAATTGCTATTATTTCACTTATTTTTAAATATATCAAAAATTAAATATATATATGAAATTCAATATATATATAGGCACATTTAAGCAAATGAATGTAGCTTACTCTATACGATTTGGCAACTTTTTGATGGCATGATTCCAGTTCTATTTTCAGACTCTTATTTTCCATCATCAAACAATCTACTATGGACAGCATTTTTTGATCTTTTCTGGAATAAAATACAAATTTTATTTCTATTACGTCGTAATAAAATTAGAAAAAACTGATATTTTAGTCTACCTACAATGCAATATATAATTTTGATAAAAAACAATTTAAAAATGATAAAAATGAAGTATGGAAAAAAAATAATACCTAGTATTTCCAAGAGTATGTCGCATCGGGTCTGTTTCTAAACGTTCTACTTTCATAGACCCTGTGCCAAGATTAGGTTGTGATTTAGATTTAACCAAATTTCGAATAGGAGTTGTTTTGTGATAATCTGACGACCACGAATTTTTGTCAGTATCATGCCATCGGGACAAATTAGTATCGTGATGTTTGTTAGGATCAACTTTTACTTCTTTTGCGAGGTGTTTTAATACCTTAAAATCAATATGCCTATGAGTAAAATTACAAACGTATAACTTTAAAACTTACATGAGATTGACTAAGGTAATCATCTGGTATATTGGTTATTTCCCTAACGCTCACATCAGCGTTCATTCGTACACAATTTTTTTTACTTTGATTTCTGATTTCTTCTCTATTAGTGTTATAACGATACTTAGGTATCCCAGAATTATAGCGAGGTCCATCATCCTTATGAATAATTAAAGTATCGTAAGCTGATGGCGGTGTCGAAATAGCATAATCTTGAAGTGTTTCTTGTCCCTGAGGTTCTTGTCTAATAGCTGTCTGATGACCATCCGAAGTTTCATCATAAGATTCACTTTCGCTTCCACTGTATTCACCACTTAAAACTAAAACAAATATATCATACTTATTGAGAGTTAATTTATATTTTTTGATAAATTTTCAAGATAGTTAAGAAAATATATAGGTAATCACCTAAAAAAATTAAAACATAAATTTTTTACAGATACAATATTAAATTTAAAAAAAAACGAAACACTCTTATGTAATGCACTTCATTCATTTCATTATGTTTATAATTATAACAATTAATGGAAAATTACTACTTTGTAGATTAAACAATTTGGAAGTTCATTACATATTTACACTTAATTCAATAAATTTATTTCATAAACAAAATATATGCCAACAAAAAAATTATGCTATTTTTTATACTTCTGAAAATAAGTTTTGATTAAAACAATATTTTAAAATTCTTTTAAACTAGAAGACAAAAACTTAATAAAATTGTGAATTTTACGAATATATTTAGAAAATTAAGATTTCATACCATGGATTTAATTATGAGCGGTTTATATTTAAAATTAAAAATATGTATATTATAAATTGTACATGACTCTATTCAAGAATATTTGTTAAAAAGAAAATTCAAACTAATTGGGACTTAGAAAAATCTTTGAATTTCAAACCCAAATACACATTACATAAACTAGAAAAAACAATTAAATTAAGTTCAATAATTAAATACTAAAATTTACTATAGCATCATCAGTATTTTATTAATGTTGATGACTTGAGCTACTTTAAAGAATTTTCTCGCGAGATTATATCAAAATTTATCTATTCATCATTTGTTAAAATAATTTCGTAAGTTTAAATAAATCTATTAACTTGTACTACAATACTAAGTATACACATTTTATTAAGAAAATATAATTATTCCAATTAAATAATCATTACTACGGATATCTTAGCGCCTCACTTTTAGGAAAATTATCAATATATAATAAAGAAGTTTTTTTTTAAATTTAATGATTTTTAAATAAAAAAAATATCTAAAGGCCAATTTATAAGCTTTTACTTCTAAATATTAATATATTTAGCGACATTGACTAAGAAAAAGTTTAAAAAAAATTTACATTAAAAACAAAAAACAATTAATTACAAGTAAGTAAACTAAATTCATTAGAAATTATACTGATTTTAAAATATCAATTATATAATAGTCTTCAAAGAGTACAAAAATATATTGATGATTATCTTTTAGAAAACAATTTAATTACTCAAAAATACTTAAAAATTAATTGCAAAAACAAACATGTGTTTGTATAATTGACGCAAACTAGAAATGATCAATTACGTATATGTACAAAGAAAGACACATACATAAAAATTCAGATAAGTCATAACGATTTCAGATATACTTATATGACGTAAATAAATTATTTAGAACAAATTACAATCAATGACGTATCCAAATAAACTTACGAAACTAATTCTTTTATTACAAATTTACTATAAAAATAATGACTAAAACCACGTGTTAATTTTATAGCGATCTTTAAAATAAAAATTTAAATAGTAAACCCCCTCCTAAAATAGTACAATGTGTTACTACTAACTTAATATACATATATGTACTATCTTCTTAAATATGTATCAGTTCAAGGCTGCGTGATTAGAATATTATTAAAAATTAACATTTTATAGAAAGGTCTTCAAACTTTAATTTTTCATTGTAAAAAACATGTCGTTTTCTAAAGTACCACGTGGTTAAAATAAATAATATGGTTAAAAAGTAGCAAATTGTTTCGCGCAACTACTATGTATCTTTTTGAAATCATACACCATAAAATAATACTTTAATTCATTATTATTATTATTTGAAGACTTGATAATTGAAGTAGTAATACTAAAAGAAATAATTAAATAATGCTACTACAATTTTAAAAAAATATTTTTTTTTACTTTTCTAATTAAATTATGATTATTAATTAATTATTAGGGTTTATTTTTGAAATGACATTAAAATTTTTTATTACCTTTAGTTGATTGAGTTTTGGTTGAATATGATCGGTAAGCAACATTTTTGTTGGATCTTTGGGAACTCATTTTCTATAATATCATCACACAATTGTAACGCACAATACAATTCCTAAAAAGAATAACAATTTATTCAATTAACTTTTATATGCAGTTATAAAAACACGGATTAATTATACTGCAAGGCTAATACGAGCAGACGTCATGCGCTACCGACATAGTTTACGCACTTATTGATGAATTTAATTTTAAACAAAAATGTTATCATTTAGATTAAATGATGATCAATAGTAATATGCTTGTTATAGATGAACATAATATGCCTTTTAGGTCATAATAATTCCCACCAAATAGTTATTGGAATTTAACGATAATAATTAATATGCATGATAATTAATTTAGTATAATTCTATAATAATTATATAAAATGTAAACGCCTGATTTTATAATCATTATTGAACTTGTTTTATTAAACTTGTTCTATTATTTAGTCTTATTAAACATGTGTATGTCTTTAACTGTTTAGTTTTTATGGAAAGAAATATTCATATATATTAATAGATTATATGTTATTCATGTCATTAAAGCGTGTAACATTAAAGTAAAATAAAAAATACTATAAGCAATACGTCAATATATTACTAGACAGTCAACATTCTCACTTCTGCTTAACTTAATACTTGTATGAACTATAAATTATACCAATTGTTTTTAAAAGGCTTCTTAAAACCGGGTCGTGACCATAGTAAAGCATGGCATCATAGTAAAGTCTTCAGCTGTACTATCTACATTTTATTCTCAGTTAAAATATTACGTTTTATAAAAAAAATGTGAAATTAAAATGTAATAAAATGCGTTTAAATATCTTAAATGTAAAAAAATAGACGTTAAATACACTATTCAAGAAATTATATAATTTATTTTTTCAAACAACTTGTCAAACTTTAATATTTAAATTCTCCCATCAAAAAAAAAAAAAAAATTTTCATAAAAATATATTTTTTTTGAAATTATTGACTTAGAGATTAAGTCCCACCATATTCTAACTAGTACAAATATATTACTTGAAGAGCTCCTTCTTCTATTCATATGTAAAAATAATTTTAACTTCAAAAATAATGTTTCAAAAGTTCTTACTAACTTGTTAATTTCTTTTAATTAGATAATTTTTTTAATACAATAGATAGTTAACTATGTACGGAGTGTTTCTATTGATAAGCCCTATAACATTTGATTTAGTGACTATTTTGCAATACTATCTTTTTACTAATTTTTACGCCTAAAGACTTCAATAACAATAAAAATTATAATATTTTTATAGTAAATTTTAAAAATCATTTAAAAATTCTCAAGATAGCCAATTTGTACAGCACATTTAAATCAACAATTGGACAGAGAAAATTCTTAGTAATTATTTTGTAGTTAAATTACTAGAGAATTTTAAAATTTATGAAATTTTTTATTTTTAAGTTTCTTTTTCACATGTTTATTTTTTGATTGTCAAGCTATATTTACATAATAAAAGCTATGAAATTTTTTTTAAAAATAATAAAAAACCGTTGATATTAGTTATTTATATAAGGACAAAAGAGAACGGACTTTTCACACTAAATAGTAATTATAGGGCAAATTATTTCTACGAATATTGTCATAACTTGAATGAGTATCTAATTGAAATTAAAATGCATTAAGTATAATTATTATCTTTCTAATAATAAGATCTCTTTGGTATTATTTTATCATAAATTAAAATAAATAGTAGATAATCAAAATTAAATTCTGTTGTTTTTTGTTAAATTTTATCTGAAACACGATAATAATACATATGATATTTTCAACATATTATATTGATCACTTAATTTCTCATTAAGTGTTTTACCAGAAAACATTTTATTTAAAAATGTTATAATTCGTTAATTGCTCAATGTAACATTACTAGAAAGATGATGATAATTATACTTTATAAGTATTGAGTATTATTCATTTAACACATTAAAACAATGACAATTTTCAAAGAAAAAATTGTGTCTATAACTAATATTAAGTGTATAAAGATTACGTTCTCTTTTATCTTTTTCTAGATATATAATACTGACGTTTGATATTCTGAAATAAACATATAAAAATAAAAACTTAAAAATTCAAATTTTCGATAATTTTAAAATGCTCTAGAAATTTAACTACAAAATAATAATAAGAATTTTCGCTGTCCATTTTAAAGCTAGTGTACAAATTCGCTATTTTGAGTTTTTTTAACTGATTTTTAAAATTTATTAAAAAATATTATAATTTCTATTGTTATTGTAGTCTTAATGTATTAATAATCAATAGTAATGTATAATCATTGATTATAGCCAATGAATCAAAAGTTATAAATTTGTTAGAATATGCAGGGCTACCGTGTATATTGCCTTTTGTGTCGTGTATGTTGTAAATTTATAAAATTATCCTTATATGATACAAAGGATGAATATAAGAGTATATCGTAATAGTTAAATAAAAAATTCCGTGATATAAGAAAATAAAAAAATAGTTATTGAGTAGTTTATATATAGAGCATTACCTTATTTATAATTTTTTTTCAATTCTTAGAGATTTAATCAAGAATTGATTAATAAAATTATATGATTATAATTATTAGTACTATTAGTATTTGCGGTTCTGTAAGTTTCCAAAATAATGGATTTTAAGAAATACTGTTACTATTTGTAACATTGAATCTAAATTTAATTTTAAATATAATTCTTATCCAAATTTAATTACTTATATTAGCATTATAAAAATATAAGCTCTGTTTATACAGTAGCACACTTATATCCCAAGGTAAACTTACATTCTTCCTTATCTAATAAACAGATAATATATTTTTTATTAGACTAAAATTATGAGTTAGCAAAAGGAATTTTGTTTTATTCGAACACTACCGTTTACTCTATTGTTAAGAATAATTTTTCAGATAAAAAAAATTTAAGTGTAGGAACTTTTTAAAAAAGATTCTTACTGCGTACTGTGTACTGCCTTAATCTTTTATCGATATATTTTATTGAATAGATATAATATTGGAACGAAAACATTTCCTTCGTCATACACGTTCAATAAAGTATTCGCACATGCATTAATAATTGCAACTCAATAAATTTGATAAACTTAATTAAATTGCGCCTAAATAATATATTTATTCAATCTTAATCGCCACAAAAACACCAAAACCTATGTCAAACTGCACATATATCATAATTCAATTTTCAATGTTATATTCCAGAACACTATGTTGATGAATAAAATAATTGAAACTTGGTATTACAAGAGACGACAGTTTGGCTTAATTTCTTAAAAACGCGTTTAAATAGTTTAAAAAAAAATAATTAATTAAAAATTTATGAATTTGTTTTTTTCAATGAACAATAGCAAACAGCGCAACAAAACTTCAGCACATAAGCGGCGATTGAATGATCCATTGCAGCACACCACACTCCCTAATAGAGATTGAATGTTATGCATAAAAATATGAAAAATGTTAAGATGCAAATATAGGCAAAACATAAAAAAACCCTCTTTTTCATAATTTTAATATATTTTTTAATAAAACGTCAAAATAAATTTATAAAAAATTAAAAATTATTTTACAAAGTTGTTGTACTAAAAAAAAAAAAACAGAGACAGGAGTTACCAACTACATTAAACATATATTTTTTTATGTATATAGCTTGACATAAAGTAATTCTTTAAAAATAGCAGTAACCTTAATCTATAATATTATCAATGATAGGTTTGTTTAAAACTAATAGAAGAATTAAAAAAAAATGATGCCTTAACATCTAAAATTAATTGAATATAAACAAATGTTATAATAATCAATTGATAAAAAAAAAAAAATTATTAATAATAGTTTAAAGTGACATAAAATTATCACTGTTTTACAAATATAGTAAATCTAGTAATTTTATATAACACACATAAGTGAAACTAGGAAACAATACAATTGTTTACTATGTACATACTTAATATATTTGTACACATTTAACAAAATACACATTAACATAAAAACAAAAAACTAATGTGCATAAAAATTAAGGTTAGCTGGCATGCACAAAAATTTAATGAAATAATTGTTTAAAATGTTTATATGTCAATAATATTTTAATAATTGATCTTAGTGGCATATAAAAATAATATTAAATGAATAGTTCTTTATGTTGAATACTGAACGTAAAAATATATTTCAACACAATTACAATATTTACAATGTCAATATTGTCCAAATTTTTCAACTAAAGTAATTTGTTAATATAATGTTAAAGTTTGCAAACATTGTTATGCTAAAATTATTTTTAAAAAGTATATGTTAAAAGACTATCAAACCATAAAACAGTAAAAAGATTTACAGGAAAATTTGGAAGGATCTCAATATTTCATATATAGATTGAAAAAATGATTGGATTTAAATATATGAATAAAATAATCAATAAGAAATATAAATTTCAAAAATTAACACAATTATATTTTTACTTAATAATTTATGGACTAGGACATAAGTTTGGTTGTATAAAAATTTAATATTGATACAAGTTATTTCAAAATGTTCCTTTATTTAAAAAAAATGTTAACTTTTTACAGTCATGTTTAAAACTATAATATACATAATACATTGAAATATACATCAATTTTTTTTGAATCACTAACTAATCTGGTAGGTTTTAAATATTTAACTACTTTGTACATAGCTCTATTGTTACAAATACTGAACAAGTGATATAAACAGAAGACAAAAATTATAAAATACACTTGTTTATAACTATGACAATGATAGTGTATCCCGTATTAACTTCTGAACAGCAGATCCTACTGAAGGACTACTTGAGCCACTAGTTAAGTAATTTGTTTTAAATAAATATGGTTGAATATCTGCAAATGATGTATCAAAAACTAAATCCAACTCTGATTGTGGAGGTATACTAGGTAAATATTCATGCCTATTCATTATTTCAGCAATATAAATTATTTTATCACTTAGAGAGTCACTAATTTTTTCCTTTGATATCTGCCTATTTGTTTCATTACAAATTTTCAGCAAATCTACTCGTACATTCCAGACTTCCCAGGGTATACATT